CGCGAAACGTGACAAGGCTCTTAGATCGCCATCAGAGAAGTGGTATCTGTCGTACCGTGAATTCCCATGGGATTTGATGTATCAGTATCCACGAGGATTTTCGCAATTCATAGGAGCCGACATCGTGGACGACATGGCCATCGCGAGTGCATACACGCGGTACAATTATGCACCGGAGGATGTGTATCTCGGAATGACAGCATTTAAACTGGGCGTCGAGTTGCACAATGTGGACTCAATGTATGATCATTATCACTACGACCTAATGAACAAAGATCACCAGCCCGCCATGGTAGCTTTGATGCAGTATTTTGACTGAGCGTTGTCTTCCGATGAGGCTGGTCCGGATACGCATCGGATGTCCTGGAACTGTTTGAGACATCTTGCATGTGCTCTGCCACATTTCGTTGGAATATATGAGTGTATCATTTTGTACTTGTTGTCATTTTAACCAGCACTATTTTGGTGGGTGTGGGAACTAAGAAGCTTAAAGAAATTGGTGGTGATATTGGTGCTACGAGTTTTAGCAGTAATTAGAGGGAGATAGAGAATAGTTTCACAACTACTTCAGTATCAGATGTCACCATTGTAGATGTTATGCTGTCTGGTACGCGTGGAACATCTGATTTGTGTCTGGAAACGATGATTAGTGTGTAGGTCAAGGGCTAACATTGGTGGAGGCTTTGTACATCAAGCAGAGCATTCCAGCTGAGGTGATCCGATAACAAGCCTGAATGTCTTGGCAAATTAAGAAATTGCTTTGCCTGATTTGCAATTGTGCGGTGGAAATTCGAGACATCACTGATTGCCGGAAGAATCCTGGCATGTTCCGTTCTTGTAAAGAGAATCGCTGTAATTGTACAAATAAATTGATGCAATCACTCGAGTAGAGCCTGACGTTAACTTCGACCTTACTTTTATGTTTTTAATCAGAAGACAAAGCAAAATAATTGATTTTGCTGAAATATTTCAACCAACGCGCATGGCCAACAATCGATTTTGAGGTTTGCATGATTCGCACTCAGAGTTGAGTTACGAGAAATCCAATATATTCAGAAATTCAGACGATATGAGGTGAAAATCGAGAATCACCTCAAGTCAGCTGCATTCATGAGCGTCTCTTTGACTCATTTAAAGTGCACACTTGTTGCACACATGATAATTGAGGCTGCATGTAGTCATGTGGTTGGTTTTTCATTTAATCACACATATGTAAATCAGTGTGCCCTGAAGTTCAATCGCAGATTGCAGTGTTGCACAAGTTTGAACTGAGACGAGGCGCTCAATCTACCATCAGATAATGCCAGTTTGAAGATGATAAAATTACGAATCATCGACAGTACTTATGGCACCTGGGAGATTGTGATTTAATGACTGGAAATGCCATCTGGAAGTTGAATATGCAACTGTGCACTCTTGAAATCGTGTGAACAACCTAAATCACTTTGAGTCCCTATCCTCATTGATAATCTCCCATGCCGCAAAATTTATCGCAAATAATTTTATTTATAGATCCACGGCTAGAGCGTCGTCCACTGCTTGATACACCCTTGTTCGTGTCGAAATTTAGGTTAATTCTTATGAACTTTAGCAGGTCAATCGCAGCGTCGTTGACCTATGAATATGTTAAGTTTAGTAGGGCACGCCATTGCGAATAATGATCGGTTTCTTACACAGCGTTCATTACTTTGAGAAGCAGATTTGTGGTATATGTGCTTAGTGCTTGCTTGGGAATTCAACATTAAAATTGGCCTGGCATTTTCAGCTCTGAACGCATTTATGCACGACTTGGGTTGGAAATTAGCGAAGAGTGACATTAAGCAAATGACAAACAGGATATTTCAGGATAGATTGTCGAGTAAACCAATCGTGTGACGAGCAGCAAGCGAGCTCATTTTGCATTCATGAGCGAGCTCAATTAGCAGGCGTTAAGGAAGACGATTCACGTAACCCTTTTCGATCCAGGACCAATGTTTAACGAAACTGTATAAACGTTCTTGTTATTCTGTACAAACACGCAACGTTACTGCGTCGAAAAATTTGTTGAGCTACGCGCCATTGGCATTTCTCCACCCTTCTTTTGGTCTTGCAGTGTCAACGTAGATTGTCGGTCCTTGTGCTGTTCCCCAAACCCGTACCGTGGCCCGCTACAATAGTATACGAGTGCGATGTAATTTGTCTTCGGGACATTTGTTATGCAGATTAATGAAAGGATGGCGTTGGCGAGAACGAGGAGTCACTTGTACTTGCAAACCCGTCAAATCGGAAGAGGAGATATTGCCAGTTTACCGCTGGACGAGCGAGGTTTTCGTGAAAAGCCATAAAAATTATATCTTCAAAACAGTTTGACATGGCACCATTTCTGTCCGTAACTTGTCACCATGTGGTGCAAATGGATGAAGTATTAATGTTGTTTCCAATTACGATGTCGAATATATTATGATTTCGGCTACTAGAGTGTATTACCTTAAACCTAATCATAAGCGTTTATACAGCTTGCAGTGGACAGGCAAACACCACGCGTGAGTGTACCAATGACTCACGCCTTTTGCTATTGGCTTCTGTCAGAATTCGCCTGCTACACGCGCGTACTCATACGCACACAAAGCCACTTGGCTGGTGTGACATTAATAAACGGGTCGTGTCTTCTGTCGCCTCTTTTCCACCCCTTCATGGATTGTAACGGCTGTTAACTAGAGGGTTGCAAGGTAATGCTAACCCCGACACTACAGGGCTGCTACCTTGATGGCGTGGCAGAAACAACAGTAAGTAGGGTAACCCAAGAAACGGCAATGTCACAAATTGGTTGTTTACGAGGCAACGAATGCAATGCGCCATTCTGCATGCTTTCAAGTACCGGATGACCTTGAGAAATCATCAGGTAAAGGAAGTCACAACCAAAGGTCAAAATCTCATCTTGCCAATTCGATGAAACGTAAGGACAGGACATTTTGCAGGATTTCTCTTCTCCTAGTGGCATTCTTCATCTTCAATATTATTTTACAACTCACAAAAAGGAAAAGCTTCTCATCTGACGAAACTGAAGCGCTTGGCGAAGTGCCACCAAGCTTAACTTGCAAATGGCCTCCATCCACGCCTAAGGATTTTCACTCCGAAAGTGGCTACAATATAACTCTGTGTGTGCGACTGGATCCCAGGTTGTCGCTAACAAGTAGACTCACGAAATACCCCCTCAGTGATGTATTTCGAAATTGGAAAGGTAGAAGCATAATTTCCTTCGAAGAACTCGGAAGGCTATCAAGGCGTTTCTGGAAACTGGTGAGGTATCCTGAGGTGTATCGCACGTACCCACAAGACGTTCCACTGAATCAAATCATTAAAGCCGTGAAAGCGGGACTTCCTGTCACTGATGTAAGTCAACCCATTTCTCTCACCTGTTTACATTGGTACTTCTCCACTAATTGATCACATTTACTGTGTTCATAATGAAAGAAGCCACATCGATGTGGTTCGTTTTTGCCCCAAACGAATTCAAGACAAATTTACTTATCTGCACATTTGAACTACACACAAGTCATTGCGGTAAATTAGTGGATGAGTTGACGGTTGTGTACATTTTCATATCTGTTATATCAGATATCAGTGTATTAACATAAGCAGACCAGAATTCCACAGAACTGTTTCCAATCGAATTGCATTTTGATGGCGTAAAATTTCGCCCTCAGTGCCACCAGTAGTGGCAATGGATGATGTCCATGAGACTAGCAGGCCCCGGTGCGGTTTTGGGAACCACATCAGGGCTGGCGATCTACACTGATAAGGTCCGACCGAAAAAGAGAAAAAGGCACAAGGCGAGTTGCTCAAATAATTTATTGAAGCAGTGGTGGCATGTGTACAAGAGAGCAAGTTAGTTTATATAGGATCAGCTAAAAATCGATCCCGGATCGATCACAGTTACGCGAGGAGGATTCAGGTAAATCAATTGAATCATGTTGGATCACGCTTGTTACTGGCGTTTGCTCACGATTGCTGTGTTTGCATGCTGCTCACCACAAGACACTGCGCCATTAATGTGAGAGCGATATTTTAGTTTAAAGAATATTTTGCTCTACTTCTTCCAGATGCCTCAGTACAATTTCCCCATCAGCATTTTGAAAACAAGCACAAAGGTCTGTGCAAACAACACCAAACACGACCTCGTCATTGTGGTGAAAAGTGGCAATCTCGGATGGGATGCGAGAACGGCGTTTCGTGAATTCATGCAACGCGAGAGAGCCCGCTATCCGAAGCTCAAGGTGGGAGTCGTCTTCAGTCTCGGATTGCCACGCAAACGCGGTGGCAGATTATTCAATCGCGACGGCAATATCATCAGCCTGCCCGG